AATAGTTGTCACAAAAGACAAAAAATAGGATGCTTAAATGGGGTAATAAATGACAGAACTAACGATAGGACAGAGACAAAAAATTAAGCCAAATAATTTGGCCAGCTTTAGTAGGGAAAAAAAGGGATAGCCAATGTCATAGGAGTAACGCCTAGATACAATATATATCAGTAGAATTCAATAATATTCACAAATAGCATGAACATAACAGATGCAAGATAGTAGTAAGCATAATAATCGACAACGTGAAGGAGAAGCACCTAGTTTTCGTTGATCCCTGCAGCATTTTCTTCTTTCCCTAGCGCAATTACAACTTTCTTCAAAATTGCTTTAGTTGGCTGGTGGGCATTCTCAACTGCCTTTGAAATTGCTTGCCATTTCTCACCATACTTGGGCTCTGCAGCGACACAACGTTTCAGCACTTCCTTCTGAATGTCCTCGTTTCCATGCTGAAGTTCAAATTTGTAGTACAAAGCCCAGAAATCCCCAATATTCCATTAAGCCAATTCCTTGCCTTGTCTACCTTCCTGTCATTCCAAAATAGTTTTGCAACAGCAGCTATGACATGGGATCCTGGTCACATTTTGTAAGTGCATCTGAGCTCTTCGATTTTCGTTGAGGACGGGGAACATTCTCAATTTGAGCCGCCCATAAGATACCACTGTTAGGACATTCTTGGAGGGCCTTAGCCAACAAGTTATCACCCTCCTTTTTGTTGACATGCCTATGTTCAGCTCTAACAGCAGCAAGCCACAATTCAGGACTCTGAGGATTCTTTTTCCTAGTCATAGTAAGAACAGCTCTAGCTTTACTCAACCCAATCATCTTCTCTTCTAGATTTGCAAGTGAAAACCACAAAGGAATGCAATGTGGGCAGTTTTTAAGACCGGATTCATAAACTTTTTTAGCCTTTGCTTGCTCTCCAGACCGCTCATGAATCTGACCAAGCATCAACCACAACTTGAAGAATGATGGGAACCGCTGCAGAACTTCGTCAAGAAGTTTCTTCTCCTCCAAAATATTACCAAGTTCTCTCTCAACAATAGCTGATTTCATCCAAACTCTTTCCGTGCCTCCTTTTTCTCGAGCCTTAGCAAGTAGCATTTTTGCCCTTTCAGGTTCATGGTTTTCAAATTTAAGCTTAAAAGCAGCAAGCCAAATCTCTTCAGAATTTGGAATAGCAGCATAAGCTTCCTGAAGAATGGCTCGAGCAGCAGGCACATCACCAGCAAGCCATTTCTCTTTTGCACCCATAAGCCAGAGAACTTCAGCCTGGGGCACATATGTGACTGCCCTCTGCAACAAGGCATCAAGAGATTCCCTAGTTCCACGACTCTTCTCCAATTGTGCTGCTTTAAGCCATATACTCTTCTTTGTCAAAAAGACAGACAGAGCATGATAATATTCAGCCCTTGCAGTTTCAACAGACCCTCTCTTCTTGCACTCTTCAGCATCAGCCACCCATGTTCTCTTCCTATCTTCTTCCTCTACCCCAACATCAACAGTGTGCTTAATAATAGCTTGGCAAGTAACAACAGACCCAGCACGCTCAGAGGCCTCTGCTTCTCTCATCCAAGCTTCTCTGTCAATAACAACTTCCTCTCTTTGTAAAGCCCTGATACCCTTCTCTATAATCTTCTCAACCATCGCAGTATTTCCATTAGCTTCTTCCAACTTTGCAGCAGTAATCCAGATAGCTGGTTCCTTTGGGAGCTTTTCTCTGGCCCTGTTAAGCACTTTCCTTGCCCCCTCATATGTTTCCAGCCTAGCAAGAGCAAGCTACAATTCAACATGCAAAGGACAGCGCTCTACAGCCATCTGAAGCGATAACTTAGCATCATCCTCATTAGCAAGCTCAACAACTGCCTTCCTAAGTCTCACTGAGTCAGGAACATGTTCAAGCCCCTTTCTCAGCACCCTGCTCTTACTTATATCATCTTGCTCCAATTTAGCAGCCTGAAGCTACAACTTCACAGAATTTGTAATTGCTTTAACTCCCCTAGCTATCACAGCCTTGGCTTCATCAGGACTCGCCAAACGACATGCCTCAAGCCACACATCCTCATTCTTGGGACACTCTTCGCATCCCTTCTTGATAAATTGTCTAGCAGTCTGGATCTTGCCAGCAACCTCCTCTAGCCTTGCAGCTGCAATCCAACCAGGAGGGTGCTTTGGATTGGTTTGTATAACAGATTTCAACAGCAACCTAGCCTTCTTAATATCTGAAATTTCTGCATCACTTGTAATCTTCATACTTTTGAGATCAGTTAAATAACCTTTCGGATCAACAACTGTCTGCCCCGTCACAGAATCAGATAGCCTATCAAGCTTCAGTGATAACACAGTACCCCTCCCCTCACCAACAGCAGTTAAATCAGTAACAGGAGTCTGTCTCCAAGGTGTCTCCGTCCCACCAGCAGATCTACTCTTTGGATCAAGGGCTGTAACATGTTCTTGCTCCTGTCTAGCCTTCTCAAGAAGAGTATCGGGCACAGGCACAAAACTCTCAAACCTCTTCTTATTCCTCAAAGAATAATCTCCAATCTCCGGGATACTATCCCAATCCTCCGTGGACATATTATGCAGCTTCCTTTTCAAGTCTGCAAACTGCTCAGTAATTTTGGGATTTGACGCACGATACTTCTCAATCTCCTCCTTCAGCCTAGCCTCCCTCCTATCCTTCCTCCTCGAGTCCATCCTCTTATCAATCTCCTCCCACACAGCATCCGCCTCCTTGTCATCCTCATCATACTCCGCCAAAGCAAACAATCCAACATCATTTCCCTCAAACTCATCAAACTTTTGATTCTCATCATACCCTTTTTCCACCCCTTTCTCCTCTTCCTCTTCCTCACCAGCACCCTTCCCCCGCCCACGGCCCATAGTAGGGACTGCAGCACCACCAATCGTAGTAGCGGAACGGTCAGGCAAGTCCAGGGCTGCTCAGGCAGGCCCAATATCAGACCGGGTCGTATACCCGGTAGCCCCACGACCCAACCCGGCAACATAATTCGGTGGGGGCTTCGCATTCAGGAATTCAAGCTTCCCCTTTGCCTGTACAGGAGCTTGCATACCACCATAAAAAGGGATATACAGCATAAAAGTCAAATTCGATCGAATTCCCAAATCAGCAATTACACAATCAACATCACCAATTACCCTTTTCGATGATGATAATAAAAATTGGTTTTCACTAGCAATTCCTAATTTATCAGTAATAGTATGGTGAAGATTGCCTAAGGTAGTTAATTTAGGGTTCATATCAAGAGCTAGGGTTTTCTTGTCAAATGTTATGAGATAAACCATTTTTTAGTGAAAATTACAAACAATAATCAATGGGAAATTAGGGATTATGCGAATAATTAAAGAAAACAGAGGGAGAAGGAATAACCTGTACAAGAAGGAAGTTGAAAGAGCTTCAAAGGAGTGGCACTGCGATTATCGGATGTGAGGTGGAAATGTGGAGGTGGAGTTTTATATTTCGATTCTCGAATAGTCGGATTTTATGTAGGGCGGTGGTTCTCAATAAACCATCGTCTGATTTTCTAGTAAGCCTAAACCCTAGAAACCCACATCAATTAGGTATTTTACTAAGGCTAACCTAGAAATCCACATTAATTGGGATATTTTACTTGCTCCCAAGCCTAAATAATACTAGATCGATTATATTCCTAAAATCTATCTAATTTCCTAATAACAATCATCATTAAACTAGGAAAGTATAAAAGATATTACTCCGTCATAAAAATAAATAAAACTTTTACAATATTGCTTTATTACTAAAAACTAGAAATTTAATTTATACTCATGCTAAAGACGTTAAGATTATTGGTGCAAAAGACTTAACAAATAAAATGAATTGAAATAAATTTATGGACTATGAGGTTTTATACTACTCCTTATAAAAAATAAAAATTTTAGATTAGTACCCATACGATTCACACATACATGGATATCTACCCTTCGTCCATAATTTGTTAACATACTTTGTTCGACACAATGTTTTATGCAAATTTATTTGATTTTAATTTATATTGTAATAATTAAAACCCTTTTTTTTTAAATTATTTAGAGTTATTGAATTGTCAGGGATTTTTACACAATATATGATTAGTATATATAAGTATTTTAATATAATAACTTTTGTTTAAGTATTTTTATAAGGTTATTGCAAATATTATTATGTTGAAGTAGGGAAGGAAAAATTGTATTCTAGACAAATGATATATATATTTTTTATTGATTAGTTAAGATTGTATATGTATTACATTATTATAAATTTCTTAGATAAAAATAGTTTTGCACAAAATTTTTGACACATGATATTATTAATAGGAAGAGTAGAAAAGTAAAGAATATACATTTATATATGTTATTTAAATATTTTCTTCTCTAATTGAAATAGACTTTATTGCCAAAAATAAAAAAGTTGGAGAAAAAAAAAGAACGATTAAACATAGTCATTGGCTAAAAATTCTAATCTAATAATATAGTACATTCCTGTTGTCAATATATATATATATATATATATATATATATATATATATATATATATATATATATATATATATATATATATATATATATATTTATTGTACCTTAAATATGAAAAAAAAAAAAAATACTTGTATTATAGTTATTTAGGTTTGACCAAAAGAAAAATCAAAAAAAGAAAGAAAAAATAGGCGGGAAAATATTTAATAAGGCGATGACACATGTTATTCCTGATTTGCCTTTAGTATATAGTTATAGATTTATGAAATTATTAATGCTAATTCTTTTTAGAAAACTTTTTTGATTATGAAATTCTTTTCCAAATGTTGAAAGTTCATTCAGACAATTTTAAGTTGATTATGAGAAATTTCTTTGAAAACGATTTTGAACCAACTGCCTAAACATGTAGTAATATACTCTGTACTTGGCATTTTGAATATATTCATTAAGAAAGCCTGAATACAAGATGAATATAACACAGGAACCAATTCATACTACCACCTTAATAAATCAAAGTGAAGGTAAACAAACACTAAACATTTGATATATTCATACATTTATATACAATGTGCAGCAAAAACACTTGGCAGCTAAACTATACACAAGGGCCATTAATCTTCTAGTTCATCTTCAATATATTCTTCCTCTTCATCCTCGTCCATTTCATCATTTCCATCTTCTTCTACTGTATCATCATCATCAGTTACAATAAAGCCTCCTAAGGTCTCATCCTCATCATCTTCAGATTCTTCCTCCTCTTCCCTTGTGCTTGTGTTGGTGGAAGAATTCCTGTTCATTGTACCTTTTAGGCGTACACTGTGGTCTTTTGATCGAGTATCATACTTTGGTCTTTGAACCTTCCTTGCCTTCGTGATTAGTTCCTCGCCTTCACTCTCAGCAGTCCACTCTTCTTCTACATCATCATCTTCTCCTCTATTAGTTTTCTTCCTCTTCCTCCTTCCACTTGTAGTTCCTTTCTTTTCAGAATCATCCTCATCATCAGAATGTCTCTTAGGATCGTCAAGGAACCAGTCCCATTTCTTGATATCACGAATCATGTGCTTAGGATACTGATCAAACTCGTGTCCAATCACAAGAAAACCAAACTCTGCAGTGACACAAGGAAGAAGAGTTGTTACCTTGACTATTACTTAAAACAGATCACACTGTCACAGGACAGATAATCACCAGTAAAGCAAGGAAATGTGTCCCAAAAATTCGCAACTAAGGTTACCAATTTAGCACAATTTAAACAGACACATAAAGCTAATGCATTGTTCTTTCCAATTAGAGCTCTCCAAACACTAGCAATCTCACAATGAGTGAGCTAATTATCCATTATCCATGCGAGTCACGGCTATAGGAACCTATCCACCTAAAAACAATCTAAAGACAGCAATGGAACTATCAACTAAATCGCAAATCTTTCTAAAACCAATCTCTCCAACTTTGCAAATTGCAATAGCAAATTCATTAAACTGCTTAAATAAACCTTTTCAGCAAAAGATTAAACCATTAAGCCATAAACAATCCTACACTAGCTAAAACCACAAATCCATAATTAGCACTCACAAATCACAATCAAATTACATCCAGTTATGCAAATGGGTATCAATTAATGCAGCATATACTTAAATAAATACTGAAAATTATATTTATAGTAACAAAAAATGAAGAAATTGAGCAAACCTTGAATTGGGTCAATGTTAGAAAGATCAACAGAATCCAACCCAATATCCTCAATTTCTTCAAACCCAGAAGCAGTTTCCAAACTTTCACTCAAATCAGCATTAATTTTTCCCTCAACTTCCTCACATTGATTTTCTCTCTCTTCAAAAACATCTTCAATATTCTTGAGAGTAAACCAAATAGGGGTTTTAGCAGAAACACAGAACAAATCATCAATACCCAATTCACCCCTTTGAAATCTCTTAAAACCTTTAACATTTCCATTTTCCTGCTGTTTTATGTGAACCCAAATTGGATTTTTTCCAAGGACTTCAAATGAAACCCTAGGAGCTGTTTGGGGATCTTCTGAGGGATTAAAATCGAACGAAACTTGACGACGAGAAACTGTTAAGTCGTTTGAGTAAAACCCATTTCCTCTTCCAAAAATGGTGGTTGAATTTGGTTTAAGTTTGAATTTTGACCCATCTGAACCTTCGATTTCCATGGTTTTGGTTTATTTTTTCTCTCTTTCTGCTCCGTGTAGGAGACGGCTTTTCTGGAGGGAAATTTTTATTTTTATTTTTCTTTTTCTTTCTGCTAAAAGACGTGCTAAATTGCTACCATGTTCTTTCTAGGCTCTTAACTTTGGGCTAAGTTAACTAAACCCATGGATTAGTTTTTGGCACTTTTCCGAACACAAAGTACTCCGTATTAGTTACTCCTTACTCTTACAGTCTTACTCGATATCCAAGGGGCACCAGGACAATAAAGAAACCATAGTGTATGTCCCTTTGTGCGCCGATGTTATTGGTAGAGATCGAAATCGTGACCTCAAAGTTACAAAATGAGTTTTTCACCAATTTCAGCTTGATAAGTGAAAGTTATATATACATTGCGGTGTACATTACTATGTGAACTACGTAACTTTTGTTTTTTTAATGTCAAACCTTGTGATTATGAACCTAATTTCATTATCGTCATTTGACATTCGTTGAATGCTTATTATTACATGACTCTAAAATGAAATCACTAAACAAAGCGGTTGAGCACTATGTTATACTTCGTACATGGTGTTATATGCTACTGTATAACAAAAATTGAGAAACCATAACTAAGGGACCACTCATATGAGTATATTTTTATTAATATTACCGCCTATATTTGCATTTTTTTTAATTTTAATTCTTATAAGCAGTGAGATAGGATATATGAGATTAATTAGATACCTTGTATAATAGAATATATGAGATTGATTACATACAACAATATTCTTCATTATTGCATAGAATTATTAAGTATGAGATTGCAATAAGCTACCTAATTATGTTATAAGCAAGTCTAAAACTGCTTCACTATTTTAGTACGCGCATTCTTAACACTCAATACATAAAAGGAAATTATAGTACGAAGTAATAAATAACACTCGCTAAATGGTTTTAAAATTATATTTTCCTCATAGTCAAGATAACATACATGGTTTACAATTATACAAAATTGATAGAAAAATAGAAAAAACAAAATTGGAAGCCATGGAAGAAGAAGGTACGACACTATGACAGGTATGAGGTGTACAAAAGTAGGTTAACCCATCCAATAAAAAGCTTAAATTACTCCACAAAAGAAGCAATTATGTTATTTACACAATCTAATCTCAAAAGAAGCAATAATTAAGACACCCAGTTTATTCAATATTCCTCTGTTTAACCAGCCCCTCTTTCTTCCCTCTCTCTCCTTTCAAATTCTTTCTCTCAACACACCGTTTAAACCGGAACACCATCTTCTTACCTCAAAAAAAGTACTTTTTTAAATTTTCTCCCAGAAATTCTTCTAAGTTTAAAGATTTTAAAAAAAAAAATATTAAAAATTGTTTGAGAATGAAAACTTCTGTGAAGAACAATTTCATGGCACCCAATTTAATTTCTAACCTTAATCAAGCTCTTTTAAGGAGGAAAGATGCAGAACAAGATGAATCCTCTAAACCCACTTCATCTTCTTCAAAATCTGAGAATGTGAATCTTGATGTTGAAGATGAAGACTGTACAAAACCCAGAATTTTGGTTACTAATGGTGATGGAATTGAATCCCCTGGGCTCACCTACCTTGTTGAAGCTCTTGTTAAAGAGGGTCTTTACAATGTCTTTGTCTGTGCCCCTCAAATGTAAGTTTTTTTTTTCCGTCTTTTGCCATTTCCGGTCTTTGGAGCTCTAGGTACACCTGGGTGTATAATAGACTTATATTCGCTGAGGAGGTTCTACCCCGTGGAAACGCTCTTTAATGGAACTTTAACTATAGCCGGACGTGACCAAGAAACCACCGGTTTCGCTTGGTGGGCCGGGAATGCTCGACTTATCAATTTATCTGGTAAACTACTTGGAGCTCATGTAGCCCATGCCGGATTAATCGTATTCTGGGCCGGAGCAATGAACCTGTTTGAAGTGGCTCATTTCGTACCAGAGAAGCCGATGTATGAACAAGGATTAATTTTACTTCCCCACCTAGCTACTCTAGGTTGGGGGGTAGGCCCCGGCGGGGAAGTTATAGACACTTTTCCATACTTTGTATCAGGAGTCCTTCACTTAATTTCGTCGGCCGTATTGGGCTTTGGGGTATTTATCATGCACTTCTGGGCCCTGAAACTCTTGAAGAATCTTTTCCATTCTTCGGTTATGTGTGGAAAGATAGAAATAAAATGACCACAATTTTGAGCATTCACTTAATCTTGTTAGGTATAGGCGCCTTTCTTCTAGTGTTCAAGGCTCTTTATTTTGGGGGCGTATATGATACCTGGGCTCCAGGAGGCGGAGATGTAAGAAAAATTACCAACGTCACCCTTAGTCCGAGTATTATCTTTGGTTATTTACTAAAATCGCCTTTTGGAGGAGAAGGGTGGATTGTTAGTGTGGACGATTTGGAAGATATAATCGGGTTGTGTGGGAAGACATTGTATTTTTGTGAAATGGGTTTGTTTTTTTTTGGTTAATATAAATTTGATTTTGTTGACAAATTTGTGATTTTTGTACAGGTTTATTATAATTAGAAACAAAGTTACGATTAATATTTTTGTATGAATTTATGTTTATTTTTTATTCATTAAATTTCCGATTTTTGTATATGATAATGTATTGAGATGGGTTGCCTTTAGGTTAATTTAAAGCTGATATGTGATGGTAGGGATAAATCAACATCAGGTCATGGGGTGACATTTGGAGAAACAATTGCTGTAAGTTCTGTTGAGATGAATGGTGCCACAGCTTTTGAGGTTTCAGGTACTTTTTATTTTAGGCCAATATCTGCTTCCTACAATGTTATAATAAGTTTGCGTTTGTCACATAATTTTGCCTCATGTTCATTATGGTAAGTTGATTCTTTTTTGGTTCGACCATATATGCTTGGTTCTCTCTTAGTGGTTGATAATGTATCCGAAGAATGATAAAATGAGAAGATGTTTATTGGTATTCTTGTAATTTAGACTATTCATTTAACCTAAGGTGTCAATACCCGGCTACCTTAGTGTGGTACGACACGTTACTTAGAGGTCTTAGACTCAATCCTTGGACAGGTTTTCTAACCTGAGAGTAGCTTGTTCAGAACCTTGTTCCTAGTTCTGCACTATGCAGATGAGAAATGATAAATTGAATCTATTTATCTTGCAGCTTGTCATACAATCACATTAAACCTATGCCGTATTGTGCAATTGTATTCTTTAATGCAATCACTTTATTTCCGGTCTTTGTCCTGTTGGTGTATTAGTTTACTGAGCTATTGTTTTTGTTGACTACAGGGACTCCTGTTGATTGCGTTTCACTGGCATTATCTGGGGCTTTATTTTCTTGGTCCAAACCTATGCTGGTATCACTCATGTTTTCATAATTTCCGAACATAGGGAGCATACATAGGGATTTATGCCTTGCAGCTAACCAATTTAGTGCTATGTTTAGGTGGTTAGTGGGATCAACAAGGGTTCAAATTGTGGGCATAATATGTAAGTAATCTGTATACCTTTTAACGTTATTTTTAATACTTAATCTCTTGCTCTAAAACTAATGAATGTAAAACTAAAAAATTCTTTTGTTACAATGACAAAAACAAGAAGCAAATGTTCAAAATGTACCTTAATGGGAATGTATTATTTGTGCTATATTTGCTTTTCTCCATTGGAATTCTTTATCACTGATGGACCTTTAGGTTTTACTCTGGTGTTGTCGCTGGGGCAAGAGAAGCATTGATTGGCGGTGTTCCTTCAATTTCTATATCGTTGAATTGGTAAAGTTGAAGACTATCTATTGGTTGGAATATATAGCTGCAATGTCATTAGTGTAACTTACACTTATTTTCTTATGATTTGCTTACAGGAAGAAAAACGAAAGCCAGCAAACTGATCTCAGGGATGCTGTGGCTGTTTCAGTACCAATAATTAAAGCTGCTCTTAGGGATATAGAAAATGGAGTCTTCCCTAAAAAGTGTGCATTCAGCGTGCAAATCCCTATGTCTCCCTTAACAAATAAGGTTCATGTCTTTCTGCAACTCTTGACAAAAATGAGTGAGCATTACTAGAGCCTGAGAATCCTACGAGATGCTGGTTAATGGGCTTTATCTAATAGAACTGAGCTTCTTGTCTTCGCTTATTTTATTTTCAAACTTTTAGGGGCCTTTCACAGCTTAGTGATAGTATTAGCAAACTTACGAACTTGACCTCTCGGCTGGTTTCAAGATAACTAAGCAAAGTTTGAAATAATCTATGCACTTGGCTTTTCAACAGGGTTTCAAGGTCACAAAGCAAAGTTTGTGGAGACCTACTTTGTGTTGGCAGGCTACATCTGTCAAAAGGCATCCATTCATGTCTAATCAACCTTGTTTAGGCTTTCAGCTTGCACAACTTGGTCGAGATGCATCTGCTGCTGTGAGTAAACTCTATAACTGACATTGATTGATCATTACAGCTTACTATTATCTCTTCATGTTTTCCTCCTATATATTCTTCTAATGGTTCTTGAAACTTAGGGTGCAGCTCGCCATCTAATTGGTCAAAAGAAGAATGTGGAGATTGAATCAGTTGGTTTAGCCGGGAAATCCAAGGCTAACCACGTTTTAAATAAGCACTTCCGCCTTGAGGTGAGAATTTTTTTGCAGGACATACTTAAAAGAATCAACAAATATAACATCAAATAGAAATTTCATATCCATTTATAAACTACAAGTATAACAAAAATGGGATGATGTGCATAATTTTTTTGCTGTGGCAAACAAGTATCCATCCATATTGTACGTTTATAACATGATTGTACTCTCGCAGAGATTTACACAAGTCACAAATGTAAGCCTTATATCGATAACTAAGAGAACCAATTATATCTTTGAATCATTTTCAGTTTATCGACAATAAACATGATGGAGTGGATGAAGATTCAGATATCAAAGCACTTGAAAGCAATTTTGTAAGTAGAATACGAGGGACACTTTTTTATTTTTTTTATTTTTTGAAATTTAGCCACTTTTCTCCCCATTGGCCAATTGGCGATTGCTTCATTTGATTCAGAACAAGAGCTTTCATTGTGCAGCTTCAGATATATGTTTAATTTGAACACTATTCTCTATAAAGAACTTAAATTTTGGTGTCTATTGACAGGTTGCTGTTACTCTCATCTCTCTTTCTCCCTACGTGGAGTCGAACATTCATACAGCGGCTGCAGATTGGATTAGGTCTACTTTCAAAGAAGACCAATAAGAGCCTCCTATATATTTGTCCTATCATTGGTCGATAATTAAGCCACCGATTCAAAGCGACATAATATAGGAACGTTATATTGTGTTGATTTAGGTCTACATTTTCTTACTCTTCGCTTTTTCTAGTTGTGGAAGCTTAAGGAAATGCTTCCATTTGTTATTTAGAATTGAAGCATGTTGTAAATGGCTGGCTTTTTGATATTTTTCACCAGACCATTTCAAGTTAAGAGTCTCCGGGGTTTTATTTGTCCTCAGCACCTCTATTAAGTAGTGGCTTGTAGCTTTTGGCGGTTGTATTTCAAATTTTAAAGAAATTTTGTAATCAAGTTAAGTTAGAGGTTGATGATTATAAAACTGTTTCGTCTGCTGTGCTACAAAGAGCTTCCATCTTGGTATTCCCTAGTGGCTCGTATTCAGGCATTGTTGTTTCAATTTGAAATGTTTATACTTTCGAAGACTAGACTTACAACTCAGCAGTATTCTGTTTCATCAAGATTGAGATTGTACATTAAACTAAAAAAAAGGCTAAAACCAAATATCATAAAGAATGACCTTTAGTGGTAATTTCTCTTAATAAATGACATAAATAGTAGGAAAGCAGAGCTAACCATGAGGAAACAAGTGCAAAATCAAAGAGTAAAAGCTTGGCATATGATGAAATTAACATTGTTCATTAAAAGGTTACATACTTCCAAAAATCCAACTAAAATGTCAGGATAACAATAATAAATAGCTATCTATGTATAAGGGAAGTAGCAAAATTTAGACTACAAATAGATCAGGACTGCTCACAAGTAATCTCTTACAAGAGTAACAACACTGCACACTATATTTCTTTTCAATTCGAAACAATCTTCACTTGCGGAATCTCCAATTTCCTACTCATTTCTTGAAAGGAAATAGCGGATTTATGGGAGCACAACAATCTTAGGCTGTTTTCTCTTTGTACGACTTTCTGACTGCTGTCTTGAAGAACCATCTACCTGCATAGAATCAGCCTTCACATTTTCATCTTCATCTCTGTCATCCTCATCATCATCATCATCATCGTCTTCATCATCACTGCTACTTTCTGATTCTGAAGAGCTGTCATTGGTACGTAAATCCACAACAGGTTGGTTTCCGGCCATTGCAGCCTCTGCGGCTTCCATGGCCTCTGGAGTTTGAAGATCAGCAACACCCAGCATCAAATCCTACATTTTAAAGCTATTGAGTAAGCTCTGACATACTAATCTTGATGTCACCTAATATTGTATAAATGCATAGTAGATGAGAGAAAATTTAGCAATACCATTTCAATGTACTCTGATTCATTACCATGCAAAACTTCAATATCAAATTCCTCAGGTTTGTCCTGCACATATATGATATATGTGCTCATTTTAGGAACTAGGAGGTGCAGATTGAAGAGCTAAAAAATCGCAAATTCTTTTACTAAGGTTTGTTGGTTCTTACCTTTGCATTAAGCTGGAGTGTTTTGTTAGCTTCAGAAATTACTCCTAGGAAATCCTTTACCTTACCAAGCACTGCAAATCAACTTCATGTTATTAGGAGGACAAGATATGATTGTGAAATGTGAAGTATAATATCCACATTATAGTACAATCCTAACCCATTGTCACCAATGGAGAGCACAACAACGAAGCTAAAGCAAAACGTTTACAATTTACCTGGCTTTGATACATTAGTCATACAGTAATAAGTTAAAAACGAAAGCTTTCATCTCATTTGAGCCCAAACAGCATATCTTTCCCAACCTCATGCCTTTCTATGGTCATATACACACTCATACCAGCAAAATGCCACAACAAGCTAAATTCCAGCACGCTCTAGCATCAGATCTCAGCAGCATAACCATGCATAAACCCGAAATGGGGAGACCGCAACAACTTCAACAAAAACAACAGCAACAACACCTCTTCATCCAAAGAGTGAATATCAATTCTTTAGGTGTGTTTAGCAATTAACATCAATTTATACTCTTCACAATTTTCTAACTTTAAAGCTCCCAAACATGATACATAGAATTTCTCCCTTACTTTGCATCACCTTCAACAACCACATCCAAAAAACCCCACAAATTCATAACCCTTCTACAACTTTAATATAACCCAATCACCCAATGTTCAAATTTTTCCAAATTTAACTTCATCAAAACTTCTAAATATGAATGTATAAGGTGTTCAATCATACATGAATATCATCATATAGTAATTACTGGAACTTTATAATAAAACTGCAATTTCAAAAATTAACATATTAACTGAGTACTAAGAAAACCTTGGCTTTTAGGGAGTGGCGCAGGGAAGGGCTTTCCTTCAGAATTTGTCTTCTCCTCTGTCGATTTCTTGCTCTTCCCACAAACAAGCAACGCTGATTCTGCTTCACCCCCAATTATTTTACAAAAAAAAAGTTAAATACAAAAAAAAATGGAAAAATAAAGGTAGAGAGAGAAAGTTAGATAGAGAAAGTTGACCTTTAAAGGAAGAAGAAGGGTCCTTGTGCTCCAATTGCAACAGCTCTTTGCTTGTCTTCTCCATCACTTTCTCTCTCCACAATTTTTCTGCAGGTTGAAGAAGAAGCTGGGGTTTCAGTTTCAGCAAGTTTAATTTTTTGGTTAAGAATATATATATACGTAGTTAGACCTTTCTAAGATGGGAGATGGGCTTTTAATTGAGATGGAATCGGGTCGATTTGGCCCAAATGGGTATGATCCAAATCCACTAAACGTCCAAACTCAAATCCAGCCCATATCTAGGCCCATAACTAGGTTTTCTTCTACAAACTCCAAGTTTACTTTCTCTCTCTAAATCCCAAAAAATGGCAGCTAAAACCCTACTCCGTTCCGGAGCTTCAGTCGTAAATCGCTTCCTTAATCCAACCTTAACTCAGAAATCAACGAGTTTAACTCAGAAAACCCTAATTTCTTCTTCTGTAAACCCCTCATCGAAGCTTTTGATTACCCCTCCATTATCAAATCCTCACTCCTCTCTGTATCTTCTTCAAAACGATGCCGTATCTTCCAACAACAATGGTACTCATTTTTCTATTTTTCTCTATTAATTGATCAATTTTAAATTATATTTAAGGCTGTGTTTGGTTGATGATGAAAATGTAGGAAAAGAGAAGATGGAGCAAGAAAAGAGATTGGAGATTGCAAAGATTTTGAACCCTTGTGGTCAGCCTTCCCTTGAATTCTTCTTGCCTGATGGTAATTCTATTTCACCCCCTTTTTTAAAATTAATTTTGTTCTGCAATTTATTTGGGTTTTGATTATTAATGATGTGCGTAAATTTGATGATTATTAATTATATGCAGAAAATTGATTCATTTTTTTACTTGATAATGGGAAATTATTGAGATTTAATTGGGTGAATAGAAAGTCGGAATAGCTTATCTTGTTATTTTTGTGTGTGATTAAATTTATTGAGACAATGCTGAAACTCTGAGCAATAGTTGGCTTATTTGGATGATTATTTGGAAATTGAATTGGAATCATGAAATTGTAGCTATAGTTTGCCTTTTGAGTATTGCTCGAATACGATGTCCTTGTCCTGTTAGAGACTTAGAGAAGTTGAGCAATTAGAGATAATAGAGTGTTTGATTGTGGGTAAGCCAATTGGGTATGTGTGGTTAAAGTAGGCTATCTGAAAGTGTGTTGCAAGATTCAGTTTTTTTTAATGTTACAAGATTGAGCTTGCCTATGGGTTGAGCTTTGAGGTCAGAGAATGAGCTTCTGATGGTTGGATCGTATGTTGTAGAAAGCTGCTCTGCTGCTTCTTGTAATGGATGCTAGATTTGTATGCAAAGGCGAATGGAGCTTTGCTTTGCTCATATGTGAGAAACCAGCTATCTAATGGCTTAAAGAAAGTAGTGGAACTTGAAAGCACATATACTCCGTCTCGTTTATAATGGAGGATTTCATTTAGTGACTCTTCCATCCCCCTTGGCTGTGCTTGGACCAATTGAATCACAATCAAAACCAGTTCTCTGTCTATATGATTTCCTTGCCTGCTATCAGCATGAAGAGCAGGAAAGGATACTGACCTCAAACTGAAACTTGTGGGTTGTTGTATGGATAAAGAAAACATGGTTGGTGACAGTTCTACGATTATTTGCCTGTAAAGTTAGTGGAATATTGCACTTAAAATTGCATGGAGAGTATCCTTGTGGTTCTTTTAAACATAGAAAGCTAAGCAAGTTATTTGAATTAGTTGTTGAGCTTTCTGCTGGGTTATGAACTTATGACTTCTGGCAGAGTTCAGATGTGGTGCCCTGAAAGCTAAGTGTTAGGGGACTTACATGATTGAGTACAGTCTTTTGTATCCAGTTCAGAGCTGGATAGAGTGTAGTCATGTGCTTGAATACTTGAATTAGTAATTGAGTTTTGGCCTATATTTGACTATCAGGCAATGCTGCCCATATTTTGAGCTTAGAAATGAAGAATCTTTGATGCATAGTATAGACGACAAGGGGCCAATGGTCTCTGTAATGTTAACCAAAATACGCTGTATTATTTTGGTAGCTCAATGTATTTTGTTCCACAATCTCCTTTTCGTTTTGTGCCTGTATCATGAGGCTTTGTTCAGACATTATGGTTAGAAATGTCGATGGTCTGTGAATAAAAAAATACTCTTTTAACTACAGTTAATATTGAACTAGATACCATGAAAGTTTTCAATATTTCTGAGATGGAACAGTTAGTTGTATAGGTTGCTTTCAGCAAAAATGGAAATTAAATCTGTCTTCAGTACTTCATCTCTTTCGTTCAACTTTTTCAATGCACCAAATTTTGTGTCAGACCAAATAAAATTTAATGCATTATCTCCTTACTGTGAGGTTGTAGGTCAATTGATCAAAATTATGTAAGAATTCTAAGAAATAATACCCTTCTATATGTTTCCCTATAATTGCTTTTATCTGCTTATTTTAGCTGGTTGTGATGATGGCAGTTTGACTAACCTCCTGCTCCCGACTGTTAGCAGTGTTGAATTCTTGGATAGTGAATATTATGTGCCACCTTTTTGTAATCATTTTACTACAGAGTTTCATGTTTGTCTTATGAGAGTTATGACTCTTATCCTCAGCATCATGAGTTCATGACCGTGTGGTATATCTGTTTTGGATTATGTATGATCTAATATCATTAATTCTGTGCAGCCGATGATTCTTCAAGCGATGCAATGATCTTATTTCCCAAGAGAACCTTCCAGCCTAGCACCCTTCGCCGGAAAAGGAATCACGGATTCTTTGCTCGGTAAGTATCACTTTTCCCTGTTTTTTTATTTTTGATTTTGATTTTTTATTTATGTCGAAATTTATCACTAACAAGCTGTCTGATTATGATGGAATGTTAATTTTCTCGACTTCAACAGAACTACTAGGATACATCGGCTAAGTGTTAACCATCTTTATTTCCCATTACATTATGAATTATTAAAACTACTTGCTGTTCATTTATCCATGGAGTTATTTTGTCTCCTTCTCTTCTGTCTCGTATAAAGTGCATCGCGTTGTTTGTCAACTTTCTTTTGTAGCAAATTGTAAGATTTTCAGATAACAATTCCCTGATGAAATAAATTATTATTTGATCATTGACTCCCCACTTCTTTAGTCCAAGTCATGTAAGAATTTTATGCCCTTTCCTTTATGGAGAGGAAAAGTACTATGCCTGATAATTTCAAAAGTTTCATAATATGTGTGCTATAACTTTAATTACCTGTATCAAAAAACATGCTACAGAGATATAGTAACTTCTCCCTAGCACTCCTTGCCAATAAAAGTTTATTGAGATGACTAACATAAAAACAGATAGATTTGTTGCTGATTGTAGCAGGCAATGTGTGTTATTAATATACTACTTGCTACTTTGCAGCAAGGCTACAAAAGGTGGGCGGAGAGTGATTGCTCGGAGAATAGCAAAGGGACGACACAGAGTCACAGCTTAGATTTTATGTGTCGATCAGTTGTATTTGCTCTCAAGCCTTGTAAGATTAAAGCACATAAGAGAATTCTTAATCTGGTGTGCTAGATTAGCCTTCTTTTTGTTTGGATAGGATGCTGGTACTCTCTGGTAGTATTGTCACGATGTTTGATATTTTTAAAGTCAAACCGCGCTTTGCTGGTTTATATAGACAGTTGATTTATTTTAATTTTCTTTTAGAATTCAAGTGGAAAAAATAATAAGTTGAATTTTATGTTGTACTCCGTACTTTCTAAGAGTATTAATGGGTAATGACTAGTGAATACTGAATAGCAGGAATTTTACTGAAGCTTATAGCTGCTTGAGACCTTGAGTACCTGATCCATAATTCGGGCATATATATATTTTTTTTGGTGCAAAGGAGAAATAAACCCATACAAACAACCTAAATAACAACCAAACGTGGCAAAGCCACACCTACGATATCCTCATGGAGATGGCTAACAGACCAACCCTTTCCGATTGGATAACAGACCAACCCGACCCCTTAATTAAATTATGACATATAGATGATTAAACATCAATACCCTCTTAGACTTCAACCTCTATACTTATGCTAACAATGACCTAACTATAATTAATCTACAATGTAATACTATTTGATTTTTCCTATCATATCATAAACGCGTAATCTGGAGTACCATAGGCTTCATTTTAACAGTTCCATCAAAATTAAATAAAAAAAAAATTTCTCTAATAGCCTCTCTAAACACGTGATACATCTTAACTTTATTTTAAACGTCAATTATTTGCCAAAAATCATTAATGCCAAAGACTTCTATGACATTCTTGGTAGGAAAGAAGGGTAACTTAAAGACTTCTATAACATTATTAACCTAATCTTTTTAATTTTAAATCATACTAGGTTAAAATCCCGTGCAATGTACGGTTATTAAATATTTAAAAAAAAAAAAAGAGAGAGAGAGACAGAGAGAGAGAGAAGCGACAAAGGCGGAAAATTGTTTCACAAGGTAATGACAAGTGTCATGGAAATATTAGAAATATATCGATAATAAAACTCTATACAACAATTTTATCTTAAAAAATCTATTTAAAATTCGCTTACTTAGTATCATATGTGTCACAATAATACCTAGTTTTCGCTTGCGTGGCGTGACACTTGACTAATAATTGGAATGTCAAGTGTCGTTGTCTCGTGGTCTAACTGCGAGACTGGCTTTATTTATTAGTGATATGAGATCTTTTTTCTCATTTTGATAATTGTTGCTCATCATTTAATCATTATTCATTAATGAGTTAAATTAACCTAAAATACCTTTGAGTGTACCATGCATCTTGGTGTATTTAAAAAAAATTCAATGGCAACTATATGTATATCATGGACAACAACATGATATGAGATGATATTTAACACAATACCTATTATTTGGCACATAAAAGATCTATCTTACTAACGTTTCATCATACCTAAGACTAACACATCATTATTTCATTATCTTCAATGAGACTATAACTATTGTTTAAGCGTTAGCTAGGGTTGGGAGAAGGAGAACATAGGTTAATTCCTTAATTTTGCAACAGTTGGACGCCTGAGTTTAACGAATAGTTCAACAACGCGCTAAATCACTGATGATAATATATAAGTGAATTTTGAATTAATATCAACTAAACACTTTCCCTGTCCGGCTGTCCCCCAAAATATTAAATAAATGTCTTTATTGATTGATTTTGAATTATTCTATTAAAATATGTCACACTATGTAACTGTTCTCTTTTAGTTTTTCATAAAGATTAATTATTAGTTTGATTAAAAGTCAATTGCTCCCAAAAGGAAGGATTAGATGTTCTGGATTAGCACTAATGATAAAAGGTTCTGATAATATTATCATAATTAACCAGCTTTTATAAAATAATAAGTTTAGATGATCAACATTCATACACGTACTAGTATCATATGTAATCCAACCCCGTCAATAAAGAAGGCAATCTTCTTGAAACAGTGGGAGGTATCACAATTGTATGTTTTTCCAAAAGTGATAATTTCGTCGTGATTTTTTAGATTTTTTTACGAATCAAGCAATTAATTTCATTGAACAATATAATTCCATAGCTAATAAATAAAGTATAACTAGTCTTTTGACCCGTACAATATACGGGCTTGTTATTAGTGGTTTTTTTTGTGCATGTTTGCTGTACTTATTATGGAGACTTGGTTATTTTTTGTTCGTGGGTTATCTTATGTGCCACAATGACATTAACGCCGTTTTTTTTTATTTATTTTTATTTTTTATTTAATTTTTTTTTTAAAAGTTTATTTTGGTTTTTTTTTTTTTTTAATTTAAAATTTAATATAATAACTTTTGTAAGTGGTATTCATTGGGTAGTTCATCAAATGTTAATTTGGAAGATAGATTTGCGAAAAACTTTAACTTGGTGGTAGTTGTTTACCTTTCTGGTTTATGTTTTTTCGCTTGTTGTTGCCTTTGTGGCGATATCGGGTTTGAATTCTTCTATTTGTCTTTTGTTGTTGTTGTTGTTTCCATCGGCTTCAATTTGTTTCACCTTTCGTTCCACATGATAAACTTTTATTACTGTTAGCTCTTATATGTATCCCTTTTTGTTGACTTTAACCTCAAGTGTACATTCTTTCCCAATGCTTTGTCGAAGTTCTTTTGATACCTTTTCCATTCCGTTTTCCTGATGATTCAGGTTAGTTTCTTGTAGACAATGTCATTTATTTTATTTTTTTGGTTTTTTTGATGTTGTTGGTGGTGTTACCTGTTCATGAATCTTTAGCATTGTTGTGATTGGTTTTCCAATAATTTTCTCCGCATCTTTGTCAAATATTCCTGCAGTAATTGATGCATCTGCGTCTTCAATTGTGACAATCAATCGGTACCTGTAATTAGCAAAACATGTAATTAATATGTTGTATTTACCGGGGTTTTCAATTTTATTTATTTGTTAGTCACCTGTGTGGAAGCTCTAGAGTAGCTTGGCATTTGCTACAATATTGTTGGTCATCAAGCTTTGACTTGCAATTAGCACACGAAATATATTTCCAGCCGCAGTCTTCATCAAGAATCTCTGTTATTTTTGCTACGCATGTGTATGAGTTTTTTTGTGTCCTGGTTTTGTCATGGTTGTTTTATTAGTTGATCTTGTTGAGTGTATTTTTTTTTTTTTTTTTTTTTTTTTTTTTTTTTTTTTTTTTTTTTTTTGAGTAATGTGTTTCATACCTGGTCTTATTCTTCCATACTTAATCTAGTTCAATTCCCTTTAACCCAAAAAAAAAAAAAAAAAAAAAAAAAATTTGCATGACAACCCTTCTTTCTCTAATGATAAAATCAAAATTATTGCCAAATATTACTATAACTAGATGAAGTCCGTGCTATGCATGGTTTATTTCTATTTTTTTTGCAACTTATATATTTTTCGTATGTTTGTGATAAAATTTGTTACTTTATTTATTCGTTGTACGTAGTATATTATATTCGCATTTAATATTTTTATTTTATTTATTTTAAAATAAATTGTGAATTTTTTCTCCTTCATTATATATTAAGATGAATTTCCTAATATCAAAAGATAATATTTTATATTTAATTAATTTAAACTTTAAAATCTCATTCCCAAATTTTACTTATGACATTTGAATTATTGAAGTCTAAAAGAAATTACATATCTCTTATTTAATTGGAATTAATGCCTATTTATAATAATAACAAATCATAAGATGAACCCAATTCATAATAAAGTTTATTATTAGATATGATAAATTTTGTTAACCCAGAAGTTAATCTCTAAGACGAATAAATTATATTTTTATAAAATATTTTATTATAATCACTTGTCATATTATTTTTATTATTATTTCTATCTAATTCATTTTTTTTAAATATCAGTTGAACGTTAATTTCATTATTTTTTTTAAGTTTAATAGTATTTTTTTTATATAAATACAAAATAAAATAAATTGTTTCTTTTCTCTTAGATAAAAAAAAGATAGTATTTTATTTTTATAATAAATTTAAAATTTTAATTTTAATCTTACGTGAGGTTTTAAATAACAATCCTACGTGTATACATAACGCTCTAAAAATAATAATCCTACATGACACTCTAATAATTTTTAAAAAAATCAAAATCCAAGGTGGCTCTCTAAAATCTTGGAAAAAAAAAATTCCATTTATATAATTGAACATGATTTTATTTTTTTTATCAGTATATTTTCATAAAATATTTTATTATAATCATGTCATATTTTTTTTTTATCAAATCCAATTTTTTTTTTAAATATCAATTGAACGTGAATTTCATTTTTTAAGTTTAATAGTATATTTTTTATATATATAAAATAAAATAAATTGTTTCTTTTCTTTTAGATAAAATTTCCAATTTAAAAAGATAGTATTTTATTATTATAATAAATTAAAATTTTTATTTTAATCTCACGTGCCGCTTTAAAATAACAATCCTACGTGGCATAATCTTATACGTAATGTGCTCTAAAATAACTAATCCTACATGGCGCTCTAATAATTATTTAAAATTCAAAATCCTAGGTGGCTCTCTAAAATCTTGGGAAAAAACTCCCGTATATAATATATATATATATATATATATATATAAATATATATATTCTACAATTAAAGTATATTAATGTTTTTTCTATCCATCATTGTAGATTGAAGCACATTCTTATAACCATTGTTATTAAAATTCCGATTTAAATCTTAGAATATTACGATTTTACGATTCATTTATGTCATACGATTTGATTTACGATTCTACCCGATTTTACATATTTATTTTAACTAGTGAAATCCATACAAGTTCAAAACATGCCTATATAGTTATTTATGAATATATATGGTCAATTATTGGTTGTTTGATGGTAAACAACTAGTTTATATTAATAATTTGGTTTCAAACTCTTAATATTAATATATTTAATTAAATTTTGATATGACATCTTGATTATGCATGTCGGTAGAATCTTATTTACGATTCAATTTTGAGAGCCCCTTCTGATTCAAAGTAGGATCCCGATTTTAATAACTTTGCTTATAACACTTCATACGTTCTTAAGTTCCTTGCCCATTACGTAGTCTTACAAAGTAGTATGTAACATACGATATTTGTACTCCCTCCGTCCCATAATATAGTTCCTGTTTTCCTATTTTAGAGATCCAAAATGTTGTTCCTGTTTCTATTTTTATATAGTATGTAAAGACCATTATACACTTACTTTTTTTAACCTTATTCATCGTACTTCCTAATTTACCCTTGAATTTTGCACATGCCATGTACTTTTTTCCACTTTCCCTCTCTAACTTTTGTCTATGATTGTACTTTTCACCTTTATTAATGTATTCATCCACTTTTTCCTCATATTTCTTAAATACCGTGAAAAAACACAAACAAGAATTATATTATAGGATGGAGGGAGTATAAAGATTAGACATTTAGAATATTGTTTGGTTTTCTAATTATCATCAAATGCATATAAAGAACACATACAAACATACCAATATGGCAATATGATACATCACCTACACTTATTTAATTTAAACCAAAAAATTGAACTATACACTGTACAAAAAATGAAAGAATTTACAGCTGTCTAAGGTAATATTTTGGCTCAAAGATCATAGAGTTGACTTATGAGAATCAAATATTATCTGTGAACAATTTTGTACTGTTGAGATTTTCTGGGGTACTGTACTTGATACACTAAGAGACATTTAAGTACCTAAAATAGAAATCTAATTTTGACAGAGAAATAACCGATTCATATTATTTAATTATACATATTAACATATTTATATTCTTATACTTGTATAGTATTCATGCATGTAGGTCCAATTTTCATTTTAATGGTAAACATGTGAACGCATATCCTATATTTCTTCCTTAAGACCCTGAACTAGAAACATTTAGGTTTCCTTCTGATGGAAAATTAATTGGAAAAAACCCAGCAAATATTGATTAATACTCATTATTGTATATATGAAGCTTATTTAAAAATGTTCATAATTATTATATATAGTCCAAATTTACATATATATAAAGGTACTAAGAAATAAATGTTATAAAAGCCTAAGTTTTACCATAATCAGGCATTCCAACAGCTAGGAGTGCTAGGGTTCAGAACAACTTGGCTGCCACCACATGGTAAGGCTGTTGGTGCTGCTAGCGACGGTGATGATGATGGTGGTCGTGGTGGCGATGATGAGGATGATGATGATGATGGTATCATGACATGATCATCCATATGAGCATAATTATTATAGTACTCAAATTGTGGCTTAGAAATGACATCTATAAGGGAACTATAATTGTTATGATGATGAGATGGTGAAGAGGATGAAATGGCTTCTAATTTTGGCATGGTTGGGACTACTCCGGCCATCATCATCGCCGTCGTTGTTGTAAGCTTCATCTTCATGATTGCCTCATCATCATCATCATCATAAGGTGGTGGTACATAAATTGATGATTGTGGACATGAGTAATCTAGCTCTTGGGTAACAATTTGGTGATGATTTTGATTAATACCAACTTCATTAATCAAATGTTGAAATCCTAATGATGATGATAATGTAGGATTGTCATAAGAAATAATGGGTGGAACTGAATAATGAGGGGTAGTTTGGGTAAGGATGAGATCATTATTGGGATAATCATATGTATTAGAAAGCAAATTAGGGCTAAGAGAAGGATAAAAGGTGGTAAATCCTACACCAATATCATGATTATTATTATTATTAACATGAGCTAATAAGCTATTTGAGGAATTTGTGGTAGGAAGATAATTAAGACAAAGATCATTAGTGATGGAGCCTATGGAGGTCGTAGCGGCCGTGGTGGTAGCAACTTGAGAGAAAAGCTTTTTTTTAATGCTTGAATTCCAAAAATTCTTCACTTCATTGTCTGTTCTTCCTGGTAAATACTTAGCTATTTGAGACCATCTGCACTCAAAAAAAAAAAAAAAAAAAAAAAAAAAAAAAAAAAAAAAAAAAAAAAGGAAAAATAATAGGTAGTGTAAATTTTTTTCGCATTCATATATGATCGATCATTATTATCTGTTAACAATCAAACATCATACTTAAAGATGACAAGATGTATATAAGTACCCCTCGAGTACCAAACTTAGTTATTAGAATTTTACTAATTCAAATTACAGTACACCATTATCAAGACTACGACTATCGATTTCTAACATTGTTCAAATTACACTGTTTTTTAATTAAATATATGGAAGCAATTCAAATTATACTATTAAGACAACTGTTTGTAAATGTGAACGGAAAAAGTATGTTACTTGTTTTCTAACGGTCAATCCAAAAAAAGGGGGGAAAAGAAGGAAGAAAAGGGGGAGAAAGAAGAACCTGTTGCCTAGAATTCTGTGGAGGTCAATGATGAGAGCAGCTTCTTGAGGAGAAAAACTCCCACGTTTCAAGTCAGGTCTCAAGTAATTTATCCATCTTAATCTGCAACTTTTTCCACATCTTTGTAAACCTAAAAAAAAAAAAAAAAAAAAAAAAAATTACACTCACATTATGTAACAAAAATTAGTTTATGAAAAATGCGAACCTAAATAAAATGAGTACGGATCATATATACAATATACATATATACGGATTTGGGGGCTAGTAGAGAGATTGTTTCCAAAAGACGCCAACTTAAAAAAGAGAGATCGAAAGAGGGAGAAGAATAAGTAACCAGCAAGCCTAGGGACAGAGCTCCAGCAGCCATGACCATAGGTGGTAATGTAGTTGATGAGCTTCTCATCTTCTTCGGGAGACCATAACCCTCTTTTCACCTTTTGCTTGTTGCAGCATGTGTGATGCCCCATTATTAATTCCTAATCAACCCTTAATTATCTAGCTTCTTCTCAAATTAATTAGGATCACTTTTCTTGTGCTAGCTCTATTACTATATTAGTACTTTCTTATTTATTACATAGAATATGTTTTGAAAGAAGAAATAGGAGAAGAAGGAAACAAATTAAGTTCTATTTTTATTTTTTTCAATGGAAGGCTTGGTTTAGAGAGAGCAGGGAATGGACGTTTTTTTATGTTGAAGTTTGGATATATAAAAGCTTTTTTGGGGGAGGAAGAAGTGATTTAAGGGTAAGGGACTAAGGGAGAAGTAAGTGTTACAACTAAGATTTACGTTTTTTGTTTTCATTCACATGAAATTTGTTCATATATATGAACATTATGGAATTCATACGAAGTATATAGTAAACTTAATTGAACTTAATAGAATTTATTTTAACTATGATTATGGTGGTCGACCTTTCTTATATTTATTGAAACAATTTTTTGTATGTAGTGAAAATGAGTAAATTAAAGCTTGATCTCTTTATCAAATAACACTTCCTAAATTTAAAAAGAAATAAAAATAGAATGTTTAATATTAATGGAAGATTTATCCATTCAAAAAAAAAAAAGGAAGATTTATAGGAAAAATTTAATTAAATAGAAACTCAATATATATAAAATTTAAATTTATAGGATTCTCTTTTTATTTGTTTCAGATGAAGTCATTTAAATGTACGTTCTTGGCTTGTATGTTGTAGTTAGTTTATTATATTATCAACCATAGAGAGGTCAAAATTAATTATCAAAGAAAAAAAGGGGGGGGGGGTTCGGGAGTGGGGTACTAGTTAATTAATTAGTAATTAAAGTTGGGTATGGGCCAAACTAAACCGGGCTGTACAACCTAATGTTACATACCAACGGGCCTCATACTCAAATGAGTCTTGTCTAAAACTAGTCAAGAAAAAATCATGTCTTTATGTAAAACTCATGCATACTAATCTTTCATATGAGGCTCATGTAGTCATGTACTATAACTTTGTTAGATTTTTTTAAAAATTGATTACATATGAGCGATTAGGATGCACAAGATTGGTTCAAATAATTGAATGAATACGGGTATTAATATAAAACGAATACGGAAAAATGTCAATTCCAAATTAATGGACACTAATAGTACTAAACTTCTGTATAAGACGGGGGGAATATTAAATATTTGGTCATAATTATAAAAACATATTGAGATGAATGAACCCTATTTACGCATGTCACACATACAGTGAAAGGAAGGGCCCATGTGGCTTTTGGAAGGGGCACAGTCCGCTAAATGGAATTGCTAGAAATTCAGTTTAAACTTTAAACTGCGGGTTCCTTATTATATTTTTGTCTTTATCTGAACGTGGGTAAAAATTAATAATCATCTTCTCATAGTGAGACTACTTAATTCTGCCGTTGATTTGTTTCATATATCAGAAACTCTAGAAGTTTTGATCATTAATAAAGTGTCATTTTATTGTTGGAAGTTCTTGATATAGAGTGTTGGAAGAAAACAAGAGAGAGACTCACAAATGAAAGGAAAAAAGTCTTACATTGATTGGAGGGAGAGGTTTTCCCTTGTTTATATCTTGTAGTGTCTTAACACTACTTAGTTGAGTGACTTGGAGGTGGGTGTTATACCATACATGAACACACATGCGCGCGCTGAGCCAAGTCAGGTCGGGCCTCGTGACTAGGGGAATGCGATGTGCGGGCGTGGGTCCCTCTTATTTTTTGGAGAAAGTTTATTTCTTTTTTGCTCACCTTGTTTTGGAATATTGTAATCAGTTACAATATTTTGTTTGACTGTTTCAGATTTTTCCTTTGATTGTGGAATATAACGGGCAGTCGTTTCCTTAATTTTGGCTAAACGTTGCTTAGGTTTCGGCCTTAATTATCTAGCCATTTCTTCTTTTTTTTCTTGTTGGTCGTTGCTCTCTGTTACTCTATATAAACCACCATTTGTTTCTTTGATTAACACACATAAATTCACAGTCTTCTCTCATCTCTAAAATAATCTAAACACGAGTTCTTATTCTTTTTGTTTTCGGGGCAAGTAATCTGAATTCCAGTCGGGTTTGTGAGTGCACATGAACTCTGGCGCCGTGCTTATTCTGGAGGGCGACCACTTCTTGTATACTGCACCGGGAGGTAGGCGGAATCGTCTTTTAGGTCAGTGGATCGCCACGACACGACTACTGTCAGTTTTGGTTCACGCATCAAGAGATGAGTAATTTCTGTTTTATTGCTTATAGTATAACATTTATATTACTACGTAATACGTAAAATGTGTTAATTTAAAATTCATAATAGGTTAGTTTAAAACATAGATTTTAATTTTTAAATATATATTCCACCTGATTACAATATTTGGCCTAGTGAAAATGGTGAAGAAAACTTCGATTTTTCGATGGAGGATCATGAGTTCATGACATTTTTTATGTTCAAGATATGAGTCTTATAAGAGCAAAGATCAAGGTTATCCATGTAAAAATTATTTTTCAAGAAAAGGTGTGGGTGCGAAAAGACTGAAGATAACTAGATTTGAGAAAATCCGGTCATGTCAAATTGGATAGTAAACACCCCTACTACTACTCCGTAATTCATCGTGAAGGATGATATATATGAGAATTAGAATTTCCTTTTGTGATTGATGGCAGTATGGTAGATAATAGTGTTGTTGGGCTCAAAATTTGGGTTCACTAGATTAGTGTCCGTGCGATACATGGTAGTAATAATCATTTTTCTATAATTAATTGTGATATAATATAAAAATGTGGAACTCATGTGGAATAAAAAAATGCAATGCATATAGAAAAATAAAATAATAACGTAAAAATTATTAAAACAACAATTGAGAATTTTTTTTTTATTTTTTATTTTTTATTATTGATTAATTGTGTTAAAAATATTTAAAAGTAGTATACATTATATTACATTAATGATACATATTATTCCCAATAAGACTTATTTATTAATATTTTTTAATAAACATGAAAATATTAATCAAACAATATAATAAAATCTATAGTAAAACTATTAGCACAACATACATTAAATATATAAATTACAAATAACATATCACCTTTATATCCAATAAAATAATTTCAATGGAAATAAATAGTACTCGGATCATTAAAGCTAAGGCAATTATAATCAACAATTAAGCAACACTTGTTTGATACCCAAGAGATGTCACTTGTCACTATGTCCGATATGTCTTTTACTATGCATCTTATTTATAATGTCGAATATAATAAATCTATCATCTCAAATCACATGTTTCAGCAAAAGACAATTTTTTTTTTTTTTTTGTATTTACTAAGATATAAATTTATTTAATTACGTAATAACAAAAAATTGATTCTTCTTCTTCTTCTACTACTTGAACGTCTTAATCCCATAAGTGGGGTCGGTTATATGAACCAATATGAGGATTTCCCAGAGGTCACCCATCATAGTACTTGATTAGGGGATTTTTATCCACCAATCACCGTCTGACAAGTGGACCAACCAGGTTCCGCCACGTGTCCTTCACGTAGGCCAATAGGATCCTGCCACGTGTCAATCACAGATACGTCCTCTACGGACCAATTGAGACACGCCACGTGTCCACCCATGCCAAATGGGAAAACCGGCCAACAAGGCCCAATCCTGTTTAGAGGCCCGGTCAGCCCTAGGTTTACCCTAAACCTAGAGAGTGGCACGCTTCTCAAGACTATAAATACTTAATTAATCCTCATTAAAGGGGATCAAGCAATTAATCTGACCTAGAGAAGTCTAAACACATTGATCACTCCTTCCCTAGAGGAACCAGATCTTCCCCCTTTATTTTCCGCACTTATTACTCCTTAATCAAGTACTAACTTGACCGTTGGAGGCGGAGCTCCCAGGAGTCTCCGTTATTTTGCAGGTACAGGCGTCCGGTTCCAGTCTCGGAATTGTAACTCTCCCGCAGGACATCAGAAAACCCCGAAACATTTGGCGCCGTCTGTGGGGATCGTACTTCAGAGATGGCATCCAAGTCTGTACCGACTCCTGAAGAGAGGCGTCCCCTAAACGACCCTCAAGTTCAGTCGGACCATGATACCGAAAGTGAATTTGAAGTTGAAACTCATACAGCTCCAGACGGGACCCTAAGGGCCCGACGTACCCGTCATACCGAAAGGAGGGAACGGGTGCATCTTCAAACAGGAAGCGAGCCAGCAGGCGCACCGCCTGCTCGGCAACAGCCGACTGATGGGTCTGCTCCCATCACAAGGAACGAACTCATGACCTTCATGAGGGACTTCAAGGGAGAGATTCAAGAGTTGATCAACAAGAAGCCGCCTGCTTCAGTCAAGGAGCAGTCGGCCAAGAAACCCTCCACTTCACTGAAGAGGAAGCTAGTTCAAGGGCGAGAGGCGACTCCTCATCCTAAATCTAGGAAGCGGGAGCCACCTGCCCTTGATTTCACAAAATTCCGTTATCCTACAGGAAATAGGAAACCGGTTCGTCATATTCAGGCGGATGGGTCAAAGCAAACATTCACAGATGCTCGGCTACTGCTAGAGCAGAAGAAGAGTGACCGATTGTCAGAGTCGGCTTCTACTTCAGACTTTCAAGACAGTTTGCGAAATGCCTCGATGAGGCATACTCAGTCGTACCATGAGAGTCAGTCAGGCGGCACCTCCCGTCAGTCCGACTTTCATAGTGCCCAGGCGGTACCAAACTTACCATTTGTGCCGCAACAACAGTATTTTATGCAGCCACCTCCATTTGGTGGACCTACAGCAAAAAACGTCCAACCTATGGACTGGCAGCTACGGTTGCTTAGACTTGGTGAACAGCCGTCGGCCTTCTCCAAGGAAATTACTGAAGCCGCTCAGCCGGCCAAAGTGAAAAATGTACTAGTAGGCGCCTATGACGGCACTACTAACCCAGAAGACCATCTGATGGCATTCACCAACCTGATGTACCTTCAAGGGTTGGATGATCCCACTTGGTGCAAGTGTTTCCCAGCGACTCTCAAAGGAATCGCACAGCAATGGTTCGGCAACCTGCCGACTGGTTGGTAAATAGCTTCAGGACGCTTGCTTACTTATTTGCCTCCAACTTCGCCATGAACATCCCTGCGAAGAAAACGACCCTTGATTTGGGAACAATTCGGCAGGGCGAGAAGGAGGGGCTTCGTTCTTACATCAGGCGGTTTAACCTGATGAGAATACAGATTCAAGGGTTACCGG